TATTTTTGTTTCTTGTTTTTGCTTCGCTTCATCTTTAAAAATCCCGCTTGATCCGCGCATTTCGCACGCTCGCGCCAGTCTCCCGTGCATCACACATGGATCAGGCAAATATTAGCGCGTTTCACCGCCCGTGTTTTACTACGCCCTGGTTAATTGGATATATCAAGCGCATCTGATTGGTTAATGGTCGCCTGATGGTAGTGGTAGTGGAAATCAAATCTGAACCTCTATAATGTGTTCTACCTGATAGGTTTTGTGAAATCTTCTTTCGTTAGAAACTTCGACAAGTCAAGTGGTTCCCACTGAAAGTGCAGTCCCCAGTTAAAACCACCTTTGACCAATGGTGATGTGTCATATTGAAACGTGTCTGAGTTAATCATGTCAATTATAGGACAAACAACTGTGCGACTATTCCTAGAAATGATTTCCAGTAATGGAGGCAGCCAATCAACATTCACTTCACAATGACTGTCCAGGAAAACTAGAACATCACCAGTTGCTTTTGATGCTCCTAGGGCACGGCCACGGATGAGACCCTCTCTTCTCGTCGCACGAACGATTGAAACTTTTCCGTAATTTCCCAAATAATGTTTTAATTTCTCTTTTAGGTGCTCTGAAACGTGAACACGGTTATCAATATAGATAATAAACAATGGATAATGAAAAATTGGACGTGCGGTAACTAAAAATTAAATTGGAATTAATATTAAACAAGATATCCGGCAAATGAATAATATTATTATTACAATGGATGATTCCACCTATAGACGAAATTTTGATCTAAACAAGAAGAACGAAAACCATCACCATAGCTGGAAAGAGCATCTTAAAATGAGTAAAATTGCAATGTCTGGTTGCGAATTGTTGTAAAATGAGGAACATATAGCCCTGTGAAGATCGCAAATTTGGATATATTTGCATTACGCGCGGGAAAAATCGAGGGAAAAATAACCATTTTTGAGTTTAAAAATTACAAGTCTGGAAAGTGTATTTCCAGCTACTTCCCACAATAATTTTGTTTAAATTAAATAACCATCATGTGTATATTGCCTGATGCATGATAGGCAGATATACTTCTGTGAAACACATGTCTAACTGAAAAATGAGTGAAGATTCTTGCCGATGATTATCGTGTTGTAAAAGAACAATAAATACATAAATAGGCAACGGTCAAGTCGAGCGTTACTCTGCTTTGAAAATGAGGTAGGCAAACTTATAACTGCGACACTGCATGTGTAGAAGCACAAACCACTTTCAAAACTAATATGTTTCACTTTTCAAAACTGATAATTTTGGCATTAGCAGTGCTACCTACTATACGTAAAAAAGGAGAAATATATTTCAACCTAGCATGTAATCATGATAGTATAGCCATGCAGCTGAGCGTGCCAATTTCCCAAACCCAGCACGTAAGGGCCATGGCCAGAAATCACGGACATGATTATTCTACTTCCTTACTAACTTTGCATATCATTGATACATAACCCGTTGAAATATGGCTTCGAGAGTAAACAGTAAATTATATTACGCGATGCTTTTCGTAAAATCAGAGAATATTGCCTATTGGTAGTCGTTTGCAACTTGCCTCGATTGCTGGTTGCAGAGCACGATCTGTTGAAATATATCGTGTTGTGTTTTCCTGGTGTAAGTTACTGCCTATTCTGCATTTTCATTTGTTTCTAGTGGCTATAGTGTGGTGTTATTATATAGAGTTAAATAGACAAATTCCGTACAAACTAACCTCGGTACAAATACCGAAAATGCAGAATGGTCACTAACTAAAATCAAGTCAACATTACGCTAAATACTTTGACAGACTTTGATTTATAGCCAGCGACTGAGGCAAGTTGCAAACGACCTACCATATTCTCTGATTTTGGGATTTACAGCATCGCGTATATAATTTACTGTTTACTGTTTACTGCAGAAGCCATATTTCAACGTGATACGAAGGAAGCAGAATAAACAGGGCCGGATTAACGTTCCGCGGGGCCCGTGGCATATTATCAGCGCGGGGCCCCTTGACCCCCCCCCCCCCCCCCCCCCCCCCCCCCCCAACCTTCCAACGGTATTTTAGACACTGAATTCAGTAAGATTAAAAAATATCCTCTTGTCAGTATTTCATGCGTTGAAAGGTTTCCTGTGTATTTACAAACAAAAAGAATTATACATCAATATTTTGATCGAACTGAATTTCAACCCAGTTTATACCAATAACATTATTATTACTTACAGGGGAAAAATAGCTAAACATGATACCGTCCATATGAACTTCTGCCGTCTTCCACAAAATTCAGCAATCTTTTAGTATTTAACAGTTTACTGCAATTTTTTATATTTTCTGGCCCCTATGATTTTTTTGGCCTCGCTCTTTGGAGCCCCTTGCCCAGAGAAGGAACAAAAAAAAATTGTTTGCGGCCCTGCTTTTGGAGCCTCGCTTTTTAAACTTTTGGGCCTCGTGGTTTTTTATTTGGGGGCTTCGCTTTTAGGGGCCTTGGACTCTTTGGGGCCCCGCGCTGTTTGGATCCTGCGCTGAAACAGGAAACAAAAAAACGTTTCGGACCCAGCTATTTGGGACCTAGATTTTTAAAGTTTGGGGTCTGACGTTTTCTGAGGACCTTGGGCTCTTTGGGGCCTCGCGTTGAAACACTGAAACAGGGAACAAAAAAACGTTTGGGCCCAGCTTGATGGGGCCTCGCTTTTTACATTTTGGGGCCCTCGCGTTTTCTGGGGGCTTGGGCTCTTTATGGCCCCGCACTGGCGCACTGTTTGGATCTCGCACTGAAGCATGGAACAAAAAAATTCGGAAAATATAGAAGAGAGTAAACGCGGGGCCCCCAAAAGCGCGGGGCCTGTGGCATAAGCCGCTTCTGCCATATGGTTAATCCGGCACTGAGAATAAATCATGTCCGTGATTTCTGGCCATGATATGCATTCAATATCATGAAGAGCAAAATCTGGCCTTGATGTTATCGGCGAGTAGAATGCGGGCCATGCATTTGGATAACATGACTCTGTAAAGACTTGAAAAGTTTTGTGTTTCCATACCTTCAGTGCTGAAGTCATCCACTAAAATAATTTCATGTAATAAAAAATCTGGTGTTCTGTCCAACACACTGTGTACTGTACGTAATAGAGTCGACCACGCTTCGTTATGAAAACAAATAACAACACTTGCAGTAGGAAGATGGTCGGGATACGTCAAGTTTTTACAACTAAAGGAAAAACATTGAACATTCAGCTTCGCAAAAAGTTGTCCATGCGAACTTGGTGGGTCGAAGCTAACCTGCATGAGTGGATAAATTATTTCTGTGTTCATATGCAGGGCTCAAAATAACGGCCTGTCAACGAACGGTGACCACCCATTTTTTTTAATATGACCAGTCATATATTTGTTCGACGTCGGTCCAAGTGACCGGTCACATTTTGGCTCTGGGAACGAGATTGTACGGACCCGAGATTGTACGGAACGAGATTGCGGACACGTTAAATTTTATGTCTATTTGTGAGGGTTTTCTTGGCGAACTAGGAATGTTCGGTATGAGAAATTTCCGGTATCGGTATACCGAAAAAATTATACCGATATTATCGGTATACCGGTTTTCCTTTGATAATTATAAAGGAAAATTCTTTAATGGAAATTTAAAGGAAATTTTGAGTAAGTCTAAAAGGGAAAACGATAATTTCGAAGCTGTTTGTTTCGAACATGTTTCGAACGACACGTACTCAGTGTAAAATCTCACTGAAGTGGAAATTCTAAATCATTGTAGTAGAAAGTTCTTTGAATTGCCATTCAGTAGGAAAATAAAGGTTATGGTTTCGCCATATAGTTGGTAAATTTAACACGGTATACCGAAAAATTCCGGTAGCCTATATCGGAAATATCGGTATATCGGTATGGTTGAATATCCGGTATCGATATACCGATATTGATTTAATACCGATATTTTCGGTATATCGGTATACCGAACAGTCCTATGGCGAACGTAAACGTTTCGTGTTGCCAAAACGATTTCGCCTAGAATGCTTCCTCGAAAAGCACGAGACAATTTTTCCATATATAATCTTGCTTTGATCCTGGCATAATATTACCATGATCCCACTATCATCATGATCCCCCTACGATCATGCCAAGATTTTAACATCTTACCAAAATGTTATCATGATCATGCCAAGATAATACTGTATTACCAAGGTCCTATTATGATGTTTCCAAGGTCGAAGCCAAACTGTGTGACGATACAGCAAAAATATCCGTGAAACCCTTGTCCATAGCTCCCTAACACAGGCTTCGACGTCACAGAAAGGCACTTTTCCTTGCCTGTCGTCGAAATGTAAAACCTGTGATTTCATAGATTCCACCACTATTGTTTCGGCACCTAAATCTGAATTTCACATCAAGCACCATTTCACGTGCGCCTCCTCCCATCTCATCTACTGCATCTCTTGCAGCAGATGTGGCATGCTTTACAT